TTGTTTTTTTTCTAAGTTATTAAGCCTAATATGTATATTTGCATTTACTGGTTACTATGTAGATCTGCATTTACTGATTACATAAGGTTTAATGATCATCAATATATTAAAGATAAAAGAAGATAAAAGAACCTAGCACAACAATGATAGGTAAACAACTATTTGTAATCCACAAATTGGGTGACCATTGTTAGTTTATTAGATGAAGCAATTGGCCGCTATTTCTTGATTTCAAAATTAAACACAACAAAAAAATAAGACAACAATAAATCATTTGATTATCTGATAATGAAAGTTGCAATAAAAAACATTATAAAATATGAATGAAAGAACAATAAACAAAAATAAAAGAAACTATCCTGTTGTGTTGAACTTTTATTTGATATAATTTTTTTTATTAGTATAATTAAAGATTTGGGTAAATTCTTTGGAAAGCTAGTTAATGCATGGTGTTGATATCGTAGATAATTAAAGCATTTTAAAAACTTAAGTTTTCGTGAATGAGAAAAATAAGGATAAATAGGTGGCTAAAAATTTAAATTGAATTGAATAGAATTTGTCATGATTACAAATTGCCATGTTTCTTTTGTAAGGGCAAATTAGGTATATCACTTGGAAAAATGAGTATGGTTAGCAATTGTCATGTGGCGATTGTGCACTCGTTTATTAGAGGAGAGGATTGGTAATATGTTTGTTTAAAAAAACAATTACTCTATTAAAAATAAATATTAGATTTGTTGTATATTATTAAAAGTTTTATTTAATCAGATTCTATTAAAAATAAGATTATATGTTTGTTCTTCACATTTCTATTATATTGTTTATTGCTATTTGCTAATATGTTTTTTTTTTTCTTGTTTTAGATGTCAACAACGGATGACTATATTGAAGTGGAAGATGGGACGATTGGAGTTGACAACCCAACCAATGATCAAGTTCCACAAGAAAAAGAGAAAAAAACTAAAGAATTCAACCCAAGATCGAAAGTTTGGAAAGAATTTGAAAGGTATAAGGACGAAAAGGGTGTTCAAAAATGCAAATGTAAGCATTGTGGTGGCGGGAATTACAAGTGCGAATCAGGTGTTTATGGGACCAAAAATCTAGGATATCATTTAACTAAATGTAAAGCTTACTTGGTTAAGCTTAATGGTGGACAAAAACAACCAGCTTTCCAATATGGTGATGAAAACAAATTGTCAGCTTGGAAATTTGATCAAAATGAGAGTCGGAAAGCTCTAGCCCACATGTTGGTAGTTGACGAACTTCCTTTTAGCTTTGTAAAAGGTGCGGGCTTTAGGTATTACAATAGTATTACTCAACCATTGTTTAAAGTTCCATGTAGAAGTACAAGCACAACGGATGTCTACCAATTGTTTGTAGACGAAAAAGAACAAATTCGTGACTTTATTAAAAAAATGTTGGTAGAATACGTTTGACCACCGATACGCGGCCTTCTAAACAACAATCATGTTATATGTGTCTCGCCGCCCACTTTATTGATAACGAATGGAAATTGAAAAAAAAAAGTGTTGTTTTTTTCTTCTCAAGAGAGTCACCGTGGGGTTGATATTGGGAAAATGGTTGAGAAATGTTTAATGGAGTGGGAAATAGAAAACGTTTTCACAATTTCTGTTGACAATGCAAGTGCAAATGATGTGGCAATTGACTTCTTAAAAAAAAGTTTTCAAAACTCCAACAAGTGTCTTATAAATTGGAAATGGATGCACATTCGATGTGTTGCCCACATTTTAAATTTAGTGGTGCAAGATGGCATAAAAAAAGTTGATAAGGCGGTTGAGATAGTTTGATGGGCGGTTAAATGGATTAGGCAATCGCCTTCTAGAATTCATAAGTTTACCGAGTTTGCTAAGGTTGCTAATCCCAGTATAACAAAACACTTGAAGAGAGATGTGCCAACAAGATGGAACTCTACTTACCATATGTTGGAAATTGCCCAAGCTTACGAAAAAACTTTTGAGAGATATGATCTTGAGGAATTTTGATTTTCGGTACGAAATTGAAAAGGCGGGTTTGTCGTTACCTTCATCAAGCGATTGGGAAAGGGTTAGGAATGTATGTCATTTTTTAAAACCTTTTCATGATGTTACTTTGAGGATTTCCGGGACACTTTATGTGACATCAAACACATGCATTGAAGACATATATTCCATTCGTACGCTCTTGGATGATGCTATTTCTGATTCTAGTCTTTGTGATATTGCATTGGCCATGAAAATTAAGTTTGATAAATATTTTGGCGACATAGAAAAAATGAATTTATTGCTCTACTTTGCTTTGATTCTTGATCCGAGGAACAAAGTAAAGAATTTGGTTATACTACTTGAGGATCGTTATGGAGAAAAGGGGGTGGAGGCCAAAAAGAAATATATCATAGATTCTATGTATGAATTATATAATGATTATATTAGAATTCATTCTCCAAGTTCTACTTCAAGTACTGCCGAGTCTATCACTTCATCATCGATACTGGAAACACCAAAACCCGAATTTTATGGCACCTAATCCCCCATTGAGAAATAAACTAAGAGAAAAGATGAAGACAAACATAGTTGAATCAAATGGGAAGTTAGAAAAGTATTTGCAAGAAAGTGTTGAAGACGACTCAGAAATGTTTAGTATTCTAGATTGGTGGAAAGTGAATAGTCCAAGAATCCCGATTCTATCATTGATGGCAAGAGATGTGTTTGCCATTCCCGTCTCAACCGTGGCTTCAGAATCTGTTTTTAGCACTAGTGGGAGGGTGTTGGATCCGTTTAGGAGTTCTTTGACTCCTAAGATTGTTGAAAGTTTAATTTGTACACAAGATTGGATTCGGGGTAGCATAAGTGACACAATCGATTATGAAAAAGATTGGGAAGAAAATCAACAAATTGACAAAGGTAATTGTTTATCGTTCATTATTTTAGTTATTGTAAATTTAATATCTTTTCCTTTTAATACTAACATTATTTGACTTTTTTTATATAGAATTGAGCAAGATGAAGTAGTGAAGCTACAAGAAGAACGAGTAGGTGCAAGAAGACGAGTATGTGCAAGAAGACGAGTATATTTATGAATGTCTTTTGGAACTTGACATGTTATTATTTTCATACTATGTAATGGTTTTCTATATTTTCTAGATTTAAGACGTGAGTTTTTTGGTAAATGCAAAATACATGCATATACATTGATATCAAGTAATTTAAATGGTTGACTTTGGTTGTTATTATTTCTTTAAGTATTTGTTTTTTTAACATCTTATTAGATTTGATTAAATTGTTAAACAAATACTTGATATCTTAAATATGATTGAGTAAAAAATCTCAATGTTCAAAGTTTAGCACGACATACTTATTTCATTACATTTATTTTTAGGTGCCATTAAAAAATTTAAAAAAAAAATCGGGTAATACCCGAATTACCCTTACCCGACCCATTACCCGAATTTAATTTGGGTCGGGTAACGGGTAATTTTTTTAATATGAAAAACCCGAATTACCCGACCCGAATTACCCGAAACCCAAAATTTTACCCGATCAACACCCTTACTCACAGCAGTCTAGGAGTTATCTTCAAGATTTAACCTTCTAATGGAGAAATAAGCACATAAATGACGTCAACGCTCAAAACAAGTAAGATGATGTCAGGGTTTCTCAAGGAATGATCTTAGGTGATGGAGGATGGTCATGAGAGGGTTTCCCAAAAGTTAGAGCCCTTAAATAGGGCTCAAAACCGAAGAATTATGGTTTTGATCTGCCGTGATTATGCCATGTGTAGCATAACCTACGCCATGCGTAGGTCATTAAAATCGCGTCCAAAAATTCAGCATCTACGCCCTGCGTAGATCTCATACGCCTTGCATAGAGCAAAACACCCAACTTCCATTTTAACTTCAAACATACATAACTTTTTCGTTTCAACTCTAATTTTGGCGTTCTTCATATGCACAAAAATGTATTGAAGAGCCCTACAATTCTATCTAGTTACTTTTGGCTTAACACATGTCGAACTAAAAACCACAATTCATGCAAGAAGCCCAACATATAAGTTTTCCATTTTTACCATTTGGTTCCAACACACAAATCAAGGGCTTAGATCTTATAACCACTATTATCAACCTTAAATAAGGTCTAAACTTTACTTTCTTAAAGCCCAAAGCCTTGACATAATCAAATTACAGTCCACAAACCTTAAATTAAGAAACGTCCCGAAACAGGATGTTACAAGAGTTGGGTGGGTACGAGAGGTTATGTGTGTGGTATAGGGTGTGAATAGGGATGGGGTAGGAGTGTATTGATGGGGTGTGGGTGGTGTTGGATGCGTGTGGTTATATATTTTTGAAAACGAAAAAATATGGAAAACGATAAGTATCAGTTTTTTTGTAATTTTAGAAAACAAACAATTTTCATTTTTCAATAAATTTTTGAAAAAGTCGTCAAACCAAACACATTTTCAAAATTTTCAATTTTTTTACATAATTTTTTGAAAAAGCTAGAGAATTTTCCAGAACCAAATACTATCTAAAGATGCCTTTGGTTGTGGATGATTGCTTTCATTTTTCTAGAAAACATAGTTGGGTTTTTAATGAAATTTAAAAAAAAAACATTTGTTTATTTTCAGTTTTAGAAATTTAGAAAACTACTTTTCTAATTTATATACAATGTGGAAAACAAAAAAGTTCACTTCTTGGATTTTTTTGAAAACTCAATCAATCGAACGCATTTTCATTTGAAAATTTTAATGGAAACCTGTAAATTGTGAAACCAAACATATCCTTATCATTTACACACTTTTAAAGAATATAATTATCTGAAGGAGTTTTCCAGTTAGCATTGCTTGAACACTAATTTAGCACTCAAAAAGTGAGCAAAGCAAAACCACATATTCAATTCCAATCCATTGCCAAAGTTGTACAATTTATAAAAGAAGGTTTTGTTTTGCATTACAAACACCAGAAACAAAAGCTAATTCTCTTTTTCTTTCTTCGAGAGGTACTCCTACTACTTCTTAGGAAGCTTCTTCTTTGAAATGAAACCTGCAACAGGTTTTGGATGCTTTTGGATCTCACTAGGGTCCAACCACTTGAGAGAATGGCGATTAAAGAAAGGCCAATTAGGTATGGTGATTAGTGTGGTTAGAACAACACCTCCAGCATATATCAACATCATCAGTTGAAACGATCCCATGATATAACCTGTCAAGAATGCTCCCATCGCAAACACCATTAACACTATCTGCATCAGTTGCTCTGTTATCTTTTGACCTTGCCAGTCCATCTATCAACGCGAAGAAGAAGAAGAAGAAATTAAAGGATAAACAGCATCACCAGACGATTTCGGAGTTAATTGCTAGAGCTAATTTGTGAAAAGATTATAACAACCTGAAACCCTAAAATTAGGAGCTTAATTTGGACAAACCTCTAAAAAACCATATACATTCATTTGACACATTAGTTCGAATCGGATCCACCAATCTATCGAATTTCCAGTTAACTACAAGATTGCGATCAGTAAACGATTCATTCGCATCAATTCTCTATACATGAAAACGACTAAAGCAACACCATGTCGACACTTACATTAAAATTCAACAGGCGTTACTCATCAATTTCTTTGTAAAAAACAAATCAAACCTCGATTAGAGATTAAAAATCAACGAAATCTAATCAGCATATCATTTAAATATGAATTGCAATAGAATCAAACAATTTCCGAAATCCAGATACAAATGAAAAATAAGATGTAATTATTCAACTATAAACAACGATTTGCTTTGACAAAACAAGATCAAAAGGAGAAAACTTACTGTTCAAGCCGATGAGAGAGGATTTAGGACCTTGAAAAGAACCGAAATGTAGCGAATAGAGAGCGAGTGTTGTATAGTGGTTTGGCCGTTTGGGGCAAATATTGTAGGTAAGTTGCACAAACCACTTTGATTTCAAAAGATACTATATCTTTACTTTACTTTTTTATTTTGACGTGGAAATTACGGACAAAAAAGAAAAATACTATTGATTAGTTAAAATTAATAGTTACGTTGTTGTTATGAATATCATGCTTTTGTAAAGTACAATATAAATTTGAATAGAATGAAAAAACCACAATCAATTATGGAAATGACAAATTAAAAATGACAAATTAAAAATGACGGCATTATAATAAACATATATAAACACAACATAATACATTATAATTATATTCAATTAGTAGTCATATGCTTTGTTTCCTTGATCATCCAGATTTAGTAAATGAGGTTGGTATAACATATTATTTTTGGCGACATTTTATGAAAGAATATATGAATGTGTTATTTGTAACTGCATTGATAGGCAAAACATAACTAAATATTTATTAAGCGATCACCAATGTGTTCTATTCCATAAGTCATTATCCACAAAAACTATTGTCGGATTAAATTTTAAACCTATTTTTTTTTATAATGAAACTTGTTTCTAAGTAAAATATATTAAAAATCCTATTAACATACAACATAACAAAATGGAAAAAAAAACAAATCAAAACAAAAAAAAGCAAAAAAAAAAACAAAAAAACAAAAAAAAAACATGTAATTACTCCAAATTACAGTAAATGACCGTGAAGGTCTTGTCAAAATCAAGGAATCTCAACAATGTACATGAGAAAAAAAATTCATCCTCGCACTCTCTTGAGTCCAGAGTGCTATAGTACCCCATAGAACAACTGAAAACATACAAAAACAGATTTATAACAAACATCATCTCAGTAACTTGCATAACAGACCATTCTCTGTATCAATTCAGTTTACAATAATAAGGTTTTATCTTTCTTTTCCTTTTCATACATAATTAAGTCAAAAGTTTCTTGAATTATTACATCATTCGACTAAATATTGAAACTTTCAAGGCATTCAATGATAAAAAGACTACATGGTGTTAGAGTGTGCTCAATTTTTTTTACTGGATGATGGGATTGTAGAATAAGTGTTGTAAAAGGATTATATTTCTCAAAAGTACAAATCTGTAATAGTAAGAACAAAAATTAGGATGTTATATTAAATTAACCAATATAAGTACATTGCTATTTTTCCTTTCGTGTAGTTATTATTCAAGCAGATATATAATTTTTGTCATGTCTGAAATAGGAAGAACTAAAATTAGGATGGTATAATAAATAAACAAATAATAGTAAATTATTATTTTACCTTTCCTAGTAGTTGTAATTGTATGCAATTGTGATTGATGTTGGAAAAAGCCATGTAGACAAAAGGTCAGACATAAATGAAATTATGTGTACTTGAATATATAGATGGAAAAGTTACTAAACAATATCCATTACATGCAATTCCAATAACAATTGTTAAAATGGGTGATTCCCCCTTACTCTGCATGGTAAGAGTAAGAAGTAAGCAATATCTTACACTTTATTCAATGTAATTGTCTTTATAATATTATACTTTATAAAATAGTCTTTTTTAGGATTTCTAATATAGAGCGGAAAATAAAATTAAAAACATTTTCTTTTATAGCATTCTACTTTTTAGAAAATATCATTTATAACATCCTACTTTGTAAAATTGCATCTTTTTGAATATTTCGAACATGAAATAGAAAATTAAAAAAAATAGAAAACACTTTCTTTTATAGCATTCCATAAATGAAACTCAAAATTAGAAAAAAGACATCATAATTGTCCTATGAGAAAAAAGCATCCTACATTCGGGATAGAAAAAAGATTTTTGTGATTTTTTTTGTTAGAAAAAAGATTTTTGTGATTTCTTTAATAAATAGAAACGTACCTGGAAACTGGATATGAAGAAGAAAACCCACAAATAAAACTCAAAATTTGTCACACCCTCGAACCAGACGGCGGAAACGTCCGGGGGGGTTGGTGTGACTTTCAACATTGTAGTATCATTACAGAGTATATAATTGAAACATAACATCATCATCATCACACATGTAATATAACAACATTCATTGTTTACATCGAGTATTGTATTTGAATATTACATGCCAAAATAGTCAGATTATGATGAAACAAAATATAACACAATATCCATTAGTTTGTTTCGTTCATCCTGCTTCAACGGTTTCCTGAGAATACAAGTTAATTTAAAAAGGTCAACATAAAAATGTTGGTGAGTTCATAAGCATGTTTGTGAAAATGATTTGTATAACTTTGAAACCACCAGAAAATCCTATATTTTTTGAAAACTGTTTAGTACGTTTGTGTCAGATCTTGTATTAATGCATGTATGTTATTGTTTATTTGAATAAAAGGGTAAAGAGAACGTAGAGAGAATGTAAAGAGCATGTAAAGAGAATGTTCCCAGACAACCCGATGTTGTCTGTAAAAGAGAAAGCTGCCATACCAACCCCCGAGGTTGAGTACCAGTACGAGTATGTTTCCGAGTAATCCAAAAGAAAAGATAATGGTCTTCCGTAAACTTCATAACGTTAATTCCTCTAAGCGAGCCGTCATAACCATACTAAATAATGACAATTTCGCCTGTCTTGGCGTTGTTGGACGTCGGTTTTGATTATAAGGTTTTCGTCACCCTAGACTGAATTAGTCTAACTGTAGCGAACAGCTCAAGTGTGGGTGTCATCCCCGTATAGATCTATACACAAATCCCCGCTCTCCCTCCAAGAGACTCTGGTTATAACTACAGGCTACGATCGTACACTTAATAGGTGTCAACCGACAAAACTCACTAGATCCTTAATCGAATTTACGCGAAGAAAAGTATAAACTCATTCCAGGCCCAATGAACCATGTAAGTGAACCACTAAGGCATCGCTAAACATGTAAATCATTTCAAGGCCCAATTGGAATAAGATTATATAACATGGGCCCGAAATATATGTGAAAGGACAATTAAGGCCCATTTCACATGTAAGGTATTTACAGGCCCAAATAGCACACAAATAGTATCCAAGGTCCGTCGCACATGTTAATGGGTCAATGAGGCCCAATAAACATATAAATAGTATACATGACCTATCACACATAAAAATGGGCCACTAAGCCAAAATTTTACAATTAAGGCCCAATTTTTGTAAGAATAACACTTTAGTCTCCATTTTGTTCAAAACTTTTGTTGATGACTAGTTTGTGGTAAAAATAGCATTTTAAACCCATTTTTGTCAAAAATATCATTTTTGGCTTGATTTTTGTGAAAATACATATTTTTCTGGTTTTGGGCTTTTCCGACCTAGTTGTTGGAAAATTTGTAGAAAAATCATCGTAAGTCGAAATTTGGATCCGTAAATTCTGGAAGTTTGGAAATTTTGTCTACTTTGTTCACAATTTTTCTCATAATTTTTAATGGCTTCTAACAAGTGTGAAATTGCTCACCTTCACAGGCTGGTTCGAAATTATTTCAAATCTGATAGACAGTTTTGTAAAATTCGCCAAATATTGTATAAAAATCGTATGAAAATGTGAGAGTAGTCATTTTAAAGGTAGAAACCTGAACTTTTTTCATGTAAAACAGTTTTGAAAAATATTATCATTTAGGTGGTCAAAACAGTTCGAGATTGGACCAAAACTTTCCTGTGAAAGGCTGATTTTTGAGTTAAGTTTATAGATCTTGGAACACAACACTCATTTTTACTATTTTAAGTGTATAAATCCCAGATCTAGTAGTTTACATGTACTATATGTGATAACACATACGTTTCTCAAGGTTTTCATATATATCCAAGTGATAAACTTAATATTCTTAACATACTTTTAGATTTATGAAGTAAATAACACATAACCACCAAATAAATCATGAAAAACACACATATTCATGCATACACACATAGATCTACACAACACAACTTGTATTCTCCCCCAAAACAAAGTAAAAACCGAAAACAAGGGGGTATGAACTCACCTTGGGGTGATGGATCGGTTTTGATGAAGAAGTGGAAGAAGATTTTTGATCCTAGCAAGCTTTCTTGAGTAGATCTTGAACTTAGATGGTTCTAAGAACATGATCCACAAAAATATGGGTGTAAGAGGAGATTTTGAAGAGATCAAGAAGTTAAATCATAGATCTAAGCAAAAACTTACGAAAGATGGTGATATTGGTGAAAAACCTTCTTGGAATGCCCACAAATCTCGAAAATATTTGGGAGGTTGGAGGAGTAGTTCTTGAGAGTGTTTGAGAGTGTTGGAAGTGAAATGTTTGTGTGTTTGTGGAGCTCTTGGCCGAAATAAAGAAAGAGAGGAGAGAAAAGGGTTGTTGGTCATTACATGGTAGATTATTGTGTCCTAGTTTAGATATATGTGATGTTAATGACATAGAT